CTGAGTAACTTACATCTATCAGGGAAGGCTGGGTAAGGCCTATCAAACCTAGACCCTATAAGATTTTTCAGACCAATTTACTCTTTCCGAAGGAAGTTGCTCGAGGAGAAAACGCACACCGTCGGGTGACTACTATCTGAACATGGTTTCCTCTGAGGTGACTGTCTCTTACTTCTCCCACTGACAACCTAAACTGTGATGATTAAACTCTACACTTCTCTATTTTACATCCAGACCTACACCGATGCCGGCAAGATCACGTCCAAGTCCGGCACTACGGCGACGATCCATTTCGAGCCTCACCGTAACCTTCGCCATTGAGAATCGAGAACCACCATGCCAGTCTCAAGTTGAAGCGTTTCCCGAATGATTCATAACTCAATTTCTCGCCCTTTTACTTCTTGGTCTCTGACGTTTTCCTTGAACATTAAAAATTTTACGAACTTGTGTCGCTTGAGCGTTAGGAAGGAATGATTGAAAGGATGCTTCCTTACTTGTAGTATGTACCACGGATGGGTGATTACTATCTCAGAAAAAAAAGTAAGCAAGCAGAATCGCGTATGCTGCTTGGAAGGTGGCGGCGCACTGGAGCCCATAGCAAACCGCGTGATTCGCACGCTTTAAATTCACAGCATCTCTTACTTAGCTATTTTTCATACCAATGGGTGAAAAAAACTTACAGGTTTAGCTGAATTTTCACACATGCAACAACCCCACGGTCGGAAGGTTGGGGCAGGATGGCGGCAGGCTTTGTCGTATATCTAAAGGTGTATGGTTCAGGGGGTTTAAAGGGGTTCTGTACTGTAATTTTTAAATCGCATCCGTACCCCTCATGGGAGCGCTTCCATCGATTGCTGGCAGTGTTATGTAACAGATGAGTGATATGGATAAGTTGAGAAATTGGGTCCACTGGAAGTAACCTAATGTTAGTGCTTTCTATGGTTTCCCCTTCCTGGGGAGAGAAAGCAAGGTTAAGAATTCAATTCAAAGCCACTGTAATACTGGACTTAGAGAACAAAGATCATTTCAGTCTACCTCTGCTCAGCCGTAATTGCATATGTCATTAATTGTGAAGGGATATAGTAATGAGTCAAGCTCAGAAAGTGACATCCCTTCCTGAGAGAGAACTGTTATTTTACATCATGTGGTGGAGTCCATAAGATAGGATTGAGCACATGTAACCAGGATAAATATCAGTCCAAAAACTGTAGCCAAGACACTGAAGGGGAGGGTGAGGTACCATGGACCACAGGGCATGAGAATCATCCCTGCTACACCTCAAAAATTAAAGATGCTGCCATGAAATTCATATGCACTCCTCCTCATGCCAGTGCAGGTTTATTAATGCACTCTAGAGTCTTTTTGTTCTTTTGCTTCGATGTAGTTTGAAAATTAAGAAAATAGCCTATTTTTGGAAAAAAAATAAAGTCTTGAAAACAATTTCAGTTCATAGGATATAAGGAAGGAGTATTTTTTCTTGACTAGACTTTGTTGTAGCCCTGTTTTGATGTGCATATTATGCTATGATCTTTTGTTTTCTTGCTATTTGTGTAATAATATTTAAAAAATCAGAGTGGGGCACCATAGATCATGGGCAATCCACAGTCCATTGTGCCCCATCAAAGCTGCAACATTTTCTTTTCTTTTAAAGCTGAGCTCATCAATTTAAAAACTAGTATGAGTCATCTACCTCCACAGCTCCTGACATTCCAAAGTTAATTTAGAAAAATGGAGCACAACAAGTTGTTTGGGCTGATGGTCAAGATCTTCCTCCAGTTATTGTTTTCCAAGGAAAGAACTCACAAAATACATGCTTTGTAATGTCCCTGAAGGATTTCTGGGGCTGGCCCATCCATTTGGGTGGATGACTGATGGAAAACTTCTAATGTGCTAAGGCAAGTTTGAGAGTTTGTGCAACATAGTAGAGAACCCCCACTTGTTTTGATTCTGGGTATTCATGAAAGCCATTTGGTAATTTCAAATCTTGCTATTTCTCAAGAAAAATGCCATCAATATCTTGACTGCCTTCCCACTGCCCCCACACAAGATGTAGCCTCAGGATGAGACAGTTTTTGAACCTTATAAAGCATATCTGAAAGCTGCAGGATACTCTTGGATAATGAAAACCCAAGACTAAGAGCTGCCTTTAATGAAGTTACTAGTTTTATTGGAAAATATGTCAATGCATGGAGATGATCTGCAACACCAGAAAACATTTAAAATTGGATTTAAGTTCCCTGGAATATGGCAGTTTGATATAAACATTTGATACCAAATTTGCAGTGAAGTTCCATCAGAAATCAGTATTTCTTAGCCTTTTTGGTGACAAGCTTGTTGTCAAAGGGAATGACATGACAATGCCACATTATATGAAATAGAATCAGAGATGTTAAAAAAATGGTCTATCATGACTAGGGGCAGGGAACAGTGATCATTTGAACATAATCATTTTAAAATTTGCCATATGTATTCAGGCTGTATTCTGATATTCTACAAAGGAGATACGAGGTCTGACAATAAAGTAATGAGACTGATTCTGTAAAGAAAAAATTTTTTTCACTAACATCTAGTGTATGTGGTCACCTTCAAAGTACTCTCCTTCTGACTTTATACACACATCCCAACGTTTTTGCTATGCCTGGAAACATTACTGGAAATCATTTTCTGAAAGTCCTTTCAATACTGCCGTCACATTGCTCTGAATGTCTTCAATTGACTCAAAATGAGATCCTTTCAAGTAGTTTTTCAGTTTTGGGAACACGAAGAAGTCGCATGGGGCAAGATCAGGTGAGTACTGGGGATGTTCCGGCATTGATATTTGGTTTTTGGCCAAAAATTGCCTTACTGAAAGAGCTGTGTGGGAAGGCACATTGTCACTATGCAAAATTCACTTGTCCTGCCAAAGACTCAGTCTTTTTCATCTAATGCATCAGAAACACAAGCATTCTACCTTCAAGTTTTGGAACGTTTACAGCAGCGCATTAGACAAAAAAGACCACATCCACTAAATATTAGTGATAACATTTTTTTTTACAGAATCAGTCTCATTGCTTTATTGTCAGACCTTGTATGTTGAGGAATATATAAAGCAATAAATGACCAAAATTTTGGGAAGTATGCAGCACAACTAAATTCTTCAGGACTAAAAAGCTACAGAATGGTCCATGGTGCCCTACCCTCCCCTACTTATGCAGGATAGTTACCATCATGCTAACATCACCTCTGTATCTATACACATGACTATCATTACAACACTGAATACATAATTCACACTTGTGCATTTTGTTGCCACTACTCTTCAATACCTCCTTCAGTCAGATCCTGTGGTCTCCCCTGGATTGAATTGAAAGTGTGCCCCTAGGTGGAGAACGACTCTTTCACCTTGAATATGCTGATGATGTGGTTCTGGCATCAGACTTGGAGCACCAAAATGACACTTGCACTTCTACACAATAGTTGTTCATCACTGGAGCCTGTTCCTCAGCTTGACTAAGACAAAAGGCAATAATGTTGAAACCCCTTATTGTATTCACTGCTTGTACTGAAAGAGACTACTTTATTCTTTTCAAGATATTTTCTGTGGTTTCTGTTCTTTCTGTTCTTTCATCAACTGTTTTGTAGGGATACATAGCACACATGTCTCTATCCCTCACCAATGGACTGAATCATGGTCAAACATTAGAAAGCCACAAGCCATCCATGATTTGAAACCTAAGGAGGATCAGGACTGGTGATTGTGAAGATGTCCTTGTGGCGCAGTGATATCTTTGGGGTCCTGAATGGATTGAGGAAAGTGGTATATGCCAGTGCTTCCCTTCAACGAGCAGAAGTGCAACAGAAATGGAAAAACTCAAGTTTGCAACCCCTTGCTGATCAAGGATCTGATGTCCTGAAGAGTATTTCGAAAAACATCACACCAACTCAATTGTCTGTTAGTGAAAAGTCTCTCTTCACATGAAATCAATTTCATTGTGATTCTCTCTTGGATTTACATCTTTCATTTGAATGTGACTGGACTGTCAAGATGATTGCACGAGCACTTGTTGGCAAAAGACATTGAGACTGTTATAAATAAAAATTATTCTAACATTTATAGCTAAAAAATCAGTATTCCATCCACCTAAGCTTTGCATGTCTAAAACAGCTTTGCTATGGTCTGCAGTTAAAGGATAACATAAAAAAGTCTCTTTAACTCAATTTCTCTTTTAATTCATGTTATGCCAGGGCCTTGTATTTTCCTTGAGATGAGATGATATGCTTCTCCCAGTATCCCAGGACTTTGGACAGAAATAGGATACCAATTAAATCTAGTTGTATAATTTCTTTATTGTGATTACATCAGAGCGAGAATCAGCATCAATGCTGTCCATTTCTAAACCATTTTCACAGAGAAAAAACTGCTAGTTTATTTATTGAGGTTGTCCCTTATAACCCAAAATCTGGATCAATTCATCCATGTCACCCAGAGAAGAGAGCTGTTTGAAGAGTACCAGAAAAGGATATCCATTCTCAATACATACAGGACATTATGGAGATTTAGGCTTTGTGCTGAAACCTCATTAAGGCAAGATCCTTTAATTTTAATACCTCTTTTTTTTCCATAGGAATCCATAGGTTCATGAAGAACCATAAACCTTAACCTCTCCCATTCTGTGTCCAGACTTATGGACACACCAATTTTTATGCATTATTTAATATTCATTGATTGGGGACAGGAAATCCAGTCCTTAATCAGTTTAGTGGTATAGCTGATGTTTAAAATATACTACATTGCCAAAAGTATTGGGATAAAGGATGATATGACAAGCAACTATCATTCCTTGTTCAAACTCCATCAGCTCCAATCCATTCTGGCAAACACCAACTGTAACAATTTGCAGAAAACTGTTATATACTTTTGAACTACAGTAATGCCCTCTACCACAGGACCTCCAGGACAATCTGTTATTGGCAGAGGGAGCCTTGTCCCAATACTTTTGCCAATAGAGTGTATATATATAATGCAAAGGAAAGAGCTCAAAATTCAAGAGGTAAGCAATAAGTAATAAGGGATGAGATGGTACACTGGGCTCTTTCTGTCTTGGCATACATCCTTGTGTTCTGGTTTTCAATTCCCCAGAGTGTCACTCATGAACTTTATGCAAGAGCATCTATGGTGGGAGAGGGTGCAAGGCAATTAGCAATTCAAGCTTTAGGTAAGACCTGTAATAATTTAAGCTTCAATTTATCTCATGAATCCTTGGCATTTTACTGGCTCTACCATGCATTATGTTTCTGACTAGGTCGTCAAAAACCCAGTGAAGGAGCTCAGAGAACATTGGAAATGCCTGGTTCAACCACCCATGAAGAGCTGAGGGATGATATAAACTCCCCTACCACTATTGACTTCCAGCAAGTGCCCCCTGTTTTGAGGGAGGAAGCTGAAGTAAGCATATCCATGAAGGCTGATGCTCAACATAATGTCTCAGTAGGAGCAAAGTCTTCTCCAGTTTCTTATGCGCCTGAGATGAGAGAGCTAGAGGACAAAGGAGATGTTAAGATGATGGAGACTTCCCTGTTGGAGGTAATTCAAGAAACAGCTGATCCTGTGAGAGTGGAACCCAAATCTGCCATGCCATGGACTAGTCCTGAACCAAAGAAAAGGCCTATTGCAAAGTTTGGTCCAACCACAAAGGTAAGGTGAAGTTTGGTGATGTTATACAAGGTAGCAGTGACCAAACTTTGAGAACTTGAAGGGAAAAAAAATTAAAACAGGAACTTTATATTTGGTATAGGTGAATTAACAACTTTGTGAAGGCACTTCCTTGTGGAAGTCCTTACTAATGAAAATGATTAAATAAATAATTTAATGAACAAAATATTCATGTCAAGGCTCTTCTTTGAGAAAGCTTTTGCACATTTTAAGTGCCCACATGAAAATTCCATATTTGACAGGGTGTATGATTCTATATGGTCATGTTTGATTATATATTTGCCATATACCACCATATATGTATTCATATATTAACAATTTTAGGGTGTATAATATATTTTACCTGCATTGCAATATCAAGTGTGATGGGCAAGTGGCACCATGTCTGATATGTGGTGAATATCCATAGGTAAGTCTTATGGTTGTAAGTAAAACATAGCATGAGGTCAGTGGTGTAGTTTGGCTGAAGAGTCAGGGGGGACAGGGCAGCAGAGTGGGGGTGCCCTGTCCCAGGGATGCCAGGGGGGCAGCCGCACCCCCCTGCCACCTCCCTGTAAAATACACCACTGCATGAGGTTGTTACACATGAGGGCAATTGACCTTCATATGCCTCTGCAACTAATTATTAATGCACCCATTATATTTTACATGAAATATTAGCTATGTATAACCTTTAAAGTAATATGCCAAAAGTTTGATTTCGAACCCCCCAGCTTAAAATTTTAGTTGGAAACAGGAATAATTTCCAGCTAGATCCCAGTTGGAAATTCAGACCCATTCCAATTGAGTTACAGCTGTAAAGTAAAGTCAGATCCAGATTGTTCCTAATTGCAATACACTGGTGGAATGAGGATGTTTTTATTGGCTGTTCTTGCTGGAGGTCCATCTACAGAAGCAGCTGAATTTCAACTGAAAATTCAGCTGTATTCCAACTGGAAGGACCTCTGTTTAAGATTCTAATGGAAAATTTCCAGCTGTAAAACAACCTGTATCTACCATTTTTCAGCTCTTTGCCAGCTGTAAATAGTCCAAATATACAGCTTCTGTACAGCTGGAAAATTCCAGTTGGGATTTCAAACTGGGCCCTACCCTCCCTAGGTAGCATAAGCATATCGTGGATGAAAAAAGTGTGAGAGGGGGTGGGGCATGGGAACTCTGGGACTCTGTTATCATGCATATCATGTGTATTTTCCTTCGTATTAATGCTTTTTTTTGTTGTAAAGTGAGGGGCACATGCCATGCCATGCCTTCATTGAACAATTCCTTCATTGGATTATTTCAGAAAGAAATAGTTTTTTTTTTCCATCTATCTTGTGAGTTGTCAGTCAAAATGAAGATACTCCTACATGAATAAGCCAAGTTTTGTCATGAAATAGCATTACTGATGAAAATACTAGTGGAGGTTAAAGTCTATAATATTGAAACTTTCGCCTTCATTAACCATGGTGCATATGTTGAACACCATGAAACATGAGTTCTTGGAGTGATTGACTGTGATCTATGAACAAGTCTATGATTGCAAGTAAAGTATAATGACTTGCATATGAATGATTATACAGTATTTGATGGATCATGGACCCTTTTTGGATACAGGCATGTTTCAGGTAATCTCACCATCTAGAGATATGACATGGCATATATGGAGAGTATATGGTGTATTTGTATGAGCCAATATATGAAAATGCATGGGGTCCTATATTTTCATTTTTATATGATTTTATGTGATTTGTGTCAAACCCCATATTTTGCATATGTTCATATATGAATTGCATTATATCATCATATATGCCCCATATATGTTGGACTGGCTAAATATATGACCATTTCATATATGGTCTTTTATGAAATTTTCACATGGGTAGGAACATTTTATAAGCCTTGTATAAAATGTCTGTACTGTGTTATTGTCTACACAAGCATTTGTGGAGTACTTTCTTAAGGTCTAGTCAAATAGCATGAAATCCCCACCATGGAGGTGGCCTCTACCTGGCCACAGGGAGGCAACAGGTATAGATCTTGTGTTCCATGTCAGGCGATGGCATATGTTGTAGAATGTAGCAACAGGATGGACAAGGGTCATCCTCTAACTCATTCAAGAAGGGACCAGATCATTCAGGCATCCAATCCATAGAGGTATCAAGAGAGACAATCAGTTCATCTTCCCCTTACCACACTTGGGCACTCCACTTAACAAGATTTTTTTGGGGACAATAAGCTGACATGATAAGAAAGGTGGTGCTGTGGTACAAACATGGAAGTTCATGATAATATGTTTGTTGGTTCAAGCTGAGCAAGTCTTCTCGTGAGCGCAAAGTTCCAGCATCACGCTTGAGCCGCCTTGCATCTTATGGAAGCCTTGCAGCTGGAATTGGCATGGGAACTCTGGCTGAAGTCACACGGAGAGCACTTGGATTCAAGAAACCAGAGGAGTCCAATAAGAGTTCTTTCTTGAGCTCATCTCCCATTCTCACAGAAGCAAATGCAGAGAGAATAGTGGACACCCTATGCAGAGTGAGGGGTGAGACCAATAGTTATATCACCTTAAATTGACTAAGATTCAGTTAGTGATTAATCTTTTTCATGTTTAGGGGCAGCATTGAAGCTTGGTCAAATGTTGAGCATTCAGGACAATTCTTTCATAAATCCCCAGCTACAGCAAGTGTTTGAGCGAGTGCGTCAGTCAGCTGACTTCATGCCTGTTCGTCAAATGGAGGTGGGCCAGTATCAACACTGCTACTCTTATATGTTCCCACTTTTAATTTTATGAATATATTAGAAGTATCTATGTTTTAAAAGCCTTAGTAGATTGCTTTGAATTTGAGAAAAAAAAAACTGTTCAATGTCTGCAATAAAAGTTGTCACTTGTTTTGGACTGTAGATAGTGTTTTGCAGAAAGACTCATTCTAAAGATAAATTTTTTTTAAATGAAAAATCCTTGGCAAAATTTAAATTGTGGGATCTTTATAATGTATGTCATTGCGGTTATCCATGGACTCCCGAGTCTTGAAGTCAGTCAGAGTAACTTTTCTTGAAGATGATTGCCAGGACCATCATATTCATCACAAAGACTGTACAAAAGCTTTTGGTGCTACCCACTGTCACTGGCTCATGTGTGCCTGCATACTGATGAATGTCCCTTACTTTGGGTATGAAAAGGTGGCCATCCTATTTAGTCCTTTCAGACCTGGTGTCCATTCCAATGGACATTGCATTTACATTGTGTCAATGGCAATTACTTAGGATTCTCATGACTTTGTGCTCCATATTACGCTACAATGGGTGCAATTATGCATGGTTCAGTTCCATCAGAGGCCTTCTTTCACCCATTAGTTTTGTCATTTTCAGTTATTTAATTAAATGTATAATATATCATATATAGTATGATGTAAATTTATAATACAAAAATGAAAACTACATATAAAGCACGACTATTTCAATTACAGTCATGAAAGAGCTCAAAAATGCAAGAAAGGATAGTATTCTGATAGCAGCCTTAATTCAGGTCTGAAAGGGTTAAAAATTGTGCATAGAATCCTATTGGGGAAATGGAGTCCCTAATTCTTTAGATTGACTTCATGACTGGTGCCTTTAGGTTAGGAAATAAGTTGCATTGAGGGTGATGCTGAGGAGAAGGTGGGCATTGTTCTTTAAGACAGTTATTATGCCATTTATGAGCACTGCCATAAACAGAGAAGGAGCAGGGATTTTGAAAGTCCTATGCAGAGTTGTATCCATTCCCAAGAAACTGACTGCAGTCAAGGCAAGGAGATGCAAAAATATAGAACACCATCAAAAGCACAGGAATACATGGTCTAGTGAACAATGCATAACAAGGTCTAAAGAGTTAATGTGAGAGATGCCTTGGTGCTTGTCTACATCAGAATTTGTGAGATGTCAAGTAAGAGAATCACATCACCTAAGTTTTTTATTCAAAACCATTTAACTCCTTGAACACACCTGGTATTGGATACTTTCCTGCCATCATATGCCAGAATTTTGTATTAAATAAAATAATATTTTGTTTCTGCTAAAGTTCTCTGCTTAAGTGTAATTACCTCTGACCTAACCTCCTCTCGTGATCCTGTTTCCCCCCCATGAGCACTCACCGTGAGCAACTGGTGACCGTCAAGTGTATCAGTTGCATGATTCCTCCATGATGCATATGGGTGTGTCATATGTGTTCAAGGGGTTAAGGTGCAAGGACCAATAATCAGGGGAACAAGCTTAATTCAGTCCAAACCTAACAAGGTAAAGAAGAAAAAAAAAGCATTCATACAAAATTTTCACAGAGAGTACTGATACATGAAATGGGCCCTGATTGGAGGAGCAAGATAGCAGACTTCCAAGAAAAGCCTTTTGCTGCAGCATCTATTGGTCAAGTGCATCTGGCAACCCTTCATGATGGGCGGAATGTTGCAATGAAGATCCAGTATCCTGGGGTTGCTAAAGGCATTGAATCTGACATCAACAATCTAGTATCTGTGATGAGGGTCTGGGACATATTCCCCCGTGGTATGTTTGAGCCTTAGTTTCATGAATAGCTTGTTGAGTACAACTTGTTTGATATAAGATGTTCAAGAAAAATAGGGCTGGATTCACGCAAGGCCGTAAAAGTGGTGCACTTCATTTTAACTAAGTCTTTCTTAAGAGGCCAGGCAAACAGAGATCCTTAGTTTCCTAAATTGCTTGTCCCAAGAGATACTTCTCTATTTTGTTTCAGCTTTCTAGAGCTGCCTGAATCAGCAAGTGTTACAAATTTCTTTTAAATGTCTCCATATAAAAATATGCACCAAGATGAAATGAACCTCAAAAGCAAAGATATTCCTTGGAATCACATTTACTAGAAATCCTTTCTTAGAGAATTTCAGCTTCCTTTATCTGCCTGTTCACTGGGTCAAAATAAAATTCATGAAAAATACTTCCCAAAAAAGTATGCCCTGAGGGAATGTATCCTAAAAGTATGATTCTTCTCAAACTTGTATTTCAACAAGTACCTGTGTACCAAGTTTAATCTTCCTATGTCTCCATTTTGTGAGAACAAAACATATTTGGAAATATGCTTGTTTTGAAAAAGTGCCTGAGGGGATTCTAAAAAATAAAAAATGTATTGAAAATAGTACCCCAACTACTACAGGTCTGGCAAATTTCATCATATTTTCCCATGTTTTTCTGCAGCAAAAATGTCTTTGGAAGAAAATTCTCACTAAAAAATTTACCTTGAGAGGATAAACCTCAAAATTAATTTAAAATTTGATGTTCATCAAAATCATCATTCCAAGAAGGACTTGTGTAATAGATTTCAACAATTCATATCTCACTTCAAGGAGAAACTAAAAAAAGAAAAATCAAAATACTTCCCTGTCAAAAGATATGCCCTTGGGATATACAGGGTGGGCCAAAAAAAATTGGTCAGTTTTGAACAGTACACTGTACTGCACTCACAGTATATATTTTAATGCAATTTGCGGCATTTGAAAGAGGAATGGATCAGCTTTACAATGGTGTATTTACATTTCAAATTTCAACAGTTTCAGAAATTCGAAAGCTCATGTAAACACCAAGCAAAAATTAAGTTGCCACAGGACAGGATAGGGATGGACAGGTGATGGCCTTCATGGCTGAAGGTCACATGCCATCTCTCTCTCTGAGAATGCAGCAATGCAGTTGTTTGTTTTGTCAAGTGTCTCTGTTTTGTTGCAATGAGAAATTTCTTAAATACATCCTCACTGAAGATGTGCCCTAAGGGGACGTACCCTCAATGGTGAATTTTTTACTGAAATTAGTACCTGAAGAACTGCACGATTATCAAATCCCAACTTCCTTTATTTACCCATTTCACTGGAGCAAAAATATATAGTGACAAGTGTAAACTATCCTTATGCTTCCTACTTTTGACTTTGTGCTGCCATAACTCTCCAACAAAATATGGTATCTGAAACTCAATACCCTCCCCTAATAGCAATGGTTCTTATGTTTGATCCAAGCTGTTAGTCAATTGGTTTGCTATATTTTGAGTAATTAGAGAAGATTAAGTCAAGCACAATGACAGTTTCTGTCTCTTTTTATTTTCACATCATTATCACAGATATTTTTTACTCAGTGTAATTTCCATTGGTCTTTAGCACTGACACAACTCTTCTTGACATGCTTTGAATCAGCTTGACACATTCTGATCTGTAATGATGCTCTGTTTGACTTTGAGTTGCAATTGAAGCTTGCACATGTGCCTAGGTCCTATCTCATGTGCATCAAGTATGGAGCTGGCAGTAGTTGATGGTTTCCTTGAGGTCGTTTTTGTGGATGTGACTGTAGGGATCATCATTGAGTCCACTATCTATTCAGCACAGATTCCCTTCTCCCTTGACTGTCATGCATCCCCAAACCATCAGAGATCCACCACTATATTTAATGCTGGGCTGGACATGCCAAAGTTGTCTGTGCGCTTCATGTAGTTTCCTGCACCATTTTTGTCTCATTGGTTCCAAATCTGTTAAATTTTGCTCTTGTCTAACCAAATGATGCATTTCAAATGGTCCAACTGTTGTTTTTGAGCACAGTATCAAGTCAGGCCTTCACGTGACTTGATGAGAGCATACATTCTTAACCTTGGGTGCAGCCTTGAAATCATCTTGAAACAACTTGCTGCAGCTGCAGTAACCTCACCAGAAGTAACTTGCCTCACAATTAAGTATTTCTGGCACTGTGAAAGCTTGGCTGAATGGTCCACCTTTGATTACTGCATTCAGAAGTTTCAACTTTTTGGTAACCAGGAACAGTATTTCAAGAACTATTGGGTGTGCCAGTGTGTGAAATGTCAAACAGCTGTCGTCAGAGAGTTTGAAAATTTGAGAGATGATTATAGGGTTCATGTTTACTGTAATATAGTGGATTTTAATGTCTCCTAGAATGTTTATAAGTCCACAATCCCAGTTAAATGATACCACATGTGATTCAGTACACCTAACTTGGGGCTGATCAATTGATCTATCAAGGAATAAAACACAAAGTAAGTTAGAATAGGAAAAAAGACAGAAACTGTCTTAAGGAATTAATTAAATTCTATCTCCTCTTACTCTGCATATAGCAAATCAATTGATTAGGAGCTTGTGTCAAAAAAGAAGAGAAGAACCATGGCTATCAAGAGAAGGTATTGAGTTTCGGATACCTTATCTTTTTGGGGAGTTACAATCACACAAAGTAAAAAACAAGAAACATTAGAAAAGTTTATATCATATATGTATTTGGAAAATCTCCCACACCCACACAATCCCACACAAAAATTGTGTCCTGAGGGGATGTACCTCATGGGTAAATTTCCTTTCTCAAACTCAATGTCACAATGGCTATGTACCAAATTTCTGCCCTCTTTCCTCCATTAGCTGGAGCAAAAAAAAATTATTGAAAGTTCCCCCCCCAGGTATGTATCTGAAAAGTAGGATTTTTCTGTAAATCCAAATCACAATAGCTATGTTCATACCAAGTCTCAGCTTTCTATATCTCTCCATTTTACTGAAAAAAAAAAAGTATTCAAAATCTCCCTGCTGAAAATATGTGCCCCTAGGGTATGTACCTGCAAAGTCAAATTTTTTCTGAACTACTTGAAAAAAAAAATCCCAATAGCTACTTCTTTGCCAAGTTCCAAGTTTTATTCATTCACTTTGGTGTATATACAGGGTGATTCAAAAGTCACTCCCTAACTTGTTTTCTCTACATTTCCACAGATTTTGTATATTTTATGGTGAAACTAGCTCACATGATAGTCAAGTGGTGGAAAAATTTTTTAAACATCAAGCTTCCAGTTTCTGGGCTTGGAATGGCAGAAGGCTGCTTGGTTTTGCAGCAGTGGAAAATGGCTATCTGGATGGACATGTTTGGTTTAGTGACTCTTGTACAGTGTGAATTCTGAAGGCATTTTGAAGTTTGTGAGGCTCCTGATGCCGAAAACCACCCTAAACACACACAATACATTTTTTAGAAACTTGGGGTTTGAGAACCCAGGAGAGTTTCGTGAGCACATGCGTGATATGCTGAAACTAAATGTGTAAACATGGAAGTGCTGTGAAAGTTGTGAAATTCATTTTCTCATATTGAAACAACTCCCATAAGTGCTATAAAGCGTCATGTATTTGGTTTGCATGAATCTCTTACGTTCTTGGAGAATTTAATTCTTGAAACTAGGGAGGGACTTTTGAATCACCTTTTGTATATTGGATGAGTATGAATGCTGCTCAAAATTATGGTGGGTATTCCTTTGATCAGTCAGACAGACAGGTTGGAGAAGGCATTAAAACAGTCAGACATAGATGTGGCACTCTAACCCTGAATTATCTTGGATTGGAGGAGTCTAATAGTTCTATCTTTACCTGTTGGTAAACACATTACAGTAGAAAGAGTAGTCTGATGACCCAAAACTAGTACTGAGGGATTTATTCATGCCACTGCTGTCATTTGCACTTTCCAGGTCTATATTTGGATTCCATAATAGCAGTGGCCAAGCGGGAGCTGGCTTGGGAAGTGGATTACATCAGGGAAGCCAAATGCACAAAGCGTATGAGGCAATACCTTGAACCTTACCCTGATTATTACGTTCCTGAAGTCATTGGTATGTATCTTTAGCTCTTTTTCATGAACTTCATCTATTCCTAAAGGGGTGTTTAGAAAATTTATAGAAGGGGTCTACTGGTACACTAAGTTGATCTTTCTTGCATACTGCTTGATCCATTTAAAGGATTGTTCTATTCTAAATAAGAAGCTCTATACTCATCATGTTTGATGCTCTTATGTGAAAATGTCAAATATGATGAAAATAGAGTTTATTGCAATGTCTGTCAGTTAGGACATAATTTTCCCCCTCCCCCATCTCAATGGTTCTTGTAGCTTTTTACAGATTTTTCCCAGAAGGAAACTACAGGGCTCCTCATAGATGTTAGAATAATTCTTGAAAGCACAGACACTTACTGAAACTCACTTATCCGCCTTTTGCCTTCAAAATTCCATATCCACCTTCCTTCTAAATAGTTTAACTCTATTTTAAACTATAAACAACCTATTTCATCAAGTTTGACATTACAGTTGCACAAAATCTGATTAAAATAAAGTTTCATGTTCAGAAGTAAATAAACTTTTGGAAGATGCCAACCCCATTTGCATGGGTCTATCCAGTGTCCTTGTAGACTTCACATTTTTTAAGCACCCAGTACTAGAGATGGAAATACATAAATACATATTGAACATTTTTCTCTCTTCGACAGATGAGCTGACAACTCAGCAGCTCTACACCACTGAATTGCTTGAAGGAATTCCAGTGGACAAATGGGTAGACCATGATCAAGACACTAGGAATCGGATTGCCTCCCTAGTTATCAGATTATTAATGCTGGAGCTTTTCAGGTTTAAGTTCATGCAGACTGATCCAAACTGGGCTAATTTTCTCTATAATGCAGAAACAAAGCAGGTATGTTTTAAAAATTTTGTCATTAAGTAATTTAAAAAAAATAAATCCAGTAGTGATTAAATTAATTTAAATTCCTGTCCTCTGTATCCAAATTAAGTTCTACCATGCGATTGTGCCAAATGATTACTTTTCTCTTCCTGCGACCTTAAAACATTTACTGAAAATAATTTTTGCAGCCACTGACCACTTGGTTCACTCTACATTGATGACCATACACTTCTGAGATCAGACCAATTGTTTTTAGGTGCATACCAATGTACAAGCAGTTATTGGTGTTGGCATTATGCACTCTGTCTTTTGAGACCTTTTTACTGGTTTTATGAGGCAAAAAAAAAAGCATGAGGGATTTTTCTTTTTTCCTTTTCTGATTTAAGCTCTCTCTGGCTATGGTTGACCTTTTCTACAAAAAGCACCAGCACTGACCTGTCAATATGAGATCATAAACAATCAGCCATTTCTGCAAATGGTACACCCCCAGTAATTTCCCTATTTACCAAAATGATAATTTTTAGTCAATCTCTTCCTGGCTGTAGTTGGGTCTCCTTGACTTTGGTGCTAGTCGGGACTTCAGCCATGAATTTGTGAGCAACTACATCCAAGTGATTCGTGGAGCAGCTGACAGAGACAAAGGGAAGATTCTGGAAAAGTCTAGGGAATTAGGCTTTCTTACTGGCTATGAGAGCCCGGTGAGACATGCATTCCTAATAGTATAAACTACTATTGAGAGGTGTTTCAGAAGACTGAATTTCATAAACTCATTTCTTTTCACTTGCAGATCATGGAAAATGCCCACTGTGAGGCAGTGATGGTTTTAGGGGAAGCATTTACTGCAGAAAAGGAGTATGATTTTGGTCAACAAAATGTCACACCTCGCATTCAAAGACTGGTTCAAGTGATGCTTGAACATAGACTATGCCCTCCACCTGAAGAGGTCTACTCTTTGCATCGTAAATTAGCTGGTGTCTTTCTCCTCTGTGCTAAACTAAGGGCTAAAGTGCACTGCAAGGATATTTTTGAGACTTCTTGGGAAATGTATCAGACTGTGGATCATGAACACATAGGAACAGATGCTTCCTAGCAATTAGCTTATTAGAACAATATTTCAGTTATGTAAGACATAGATTTTTGTGAGCAAATGAAAGAATTTCTTTTTCAATAATGAAGTTGATTTATTCAGACAGCCCTCACATCCCTGCACTTTAATCAAACAAACCTTGTGGCAATGGCTATTAGCTTTGAATACTCCCCTTTGGCTCTCAGGGAGTGAGGTATAGGAGCAAGAATTCGAGTTCCTAGGGGAGTGTTGTCCTCATCTACAAGAACTATATTATTTGTATCAAATCGAGGCACTAATGGCTTTATGAGCTTCCCCTTGCAGCCAACAATCACTGCCTTCTTCTTCTGCCCCTTGATTGCCACAATAATGCGGTCACCTGTGTATAAAATATCAGATTGAGATCATATTCACATTCAAGAGTGCTAGGTCTATGGACAAGAGAACAATGGATAGGAAATGAGACAAGTTTAAATGGGCAATGGAGTGCATAACAACATTATGTCATTATTATTACAAAATACCGTTATTTTATGCATATAGGCCACAAATTATTAAAGAGATTTTTCCCTTCAAAGGAGTGAAGAGTATAGGAATGTTTTACTAAAAGCTCATTCATTTCCTTTGCACAACCTACTTTTAAATTAGAGCTCCTTTATCTTTGAATGCGCAAACCTCCTCTAACTTTAGCGGATAGTTAAACAGTTCTATAACTGGCAAAAAGAAAAAGTAGGTCTGGGACCTACTTTATCTTTTTACCAGTGGGGGATGTTTCCCTTACAACTGGTGTTTCTTCCATGGATTGTCGCTCATTTGCAACCATGCAGTCTATGCACAATCTGCATTTCTTAAAATGGAGGAGGCAACATGCAGGAGAATTGTAACACACTGGCACACGGCATCTCTTTCTATAGTGTTGAAATTCACCACCCAAATCTTTGAATTAATGATCATATACATGAAACTAGATGAAGACAGCACAAAGAGACAGTCGCTTCTGATCTGGAAGTTGTGTGGTATGATTATTATAAAGAGGAAAAGTTCATGTGAGATGATCGGACCTGAAGATGTATGTCTGGATGCAAACGAGATACCAGCCCTGATTCTTATCTGCCATTCCAAAAGTGACCATTGGGAAAATTGCAGATATTGTGGTTGGTTTGTCACTTTTTCTATTCTGTTTTCATTTCAACTTTTCACAGTTGCCATTGGAATAAGAGAATTTGAATAATTGCTCACATGCAGCATAGAGTCTGGGTCAGGGTAGAGAGGGCATGGAGTCATTGCCAAAAACTGACAGTTTCCTTCCAGCACTAGCATTTGATGAATCCATAGTTAGGCAAAAGAAGAAAGAAGCTTCTTATGGCAGCATAGGCAGATTTGCTGGCTGATCCAGAGGAATGCCACATTTCATATCCCACAGGCTTAACTCAACTCCCATCCCCAGCCTTTTTAACAAGGTCATCAACATAAGAATGACAGCTTTTGCTTGCCAAAAAGTGGAATGGCTACGAAATAGCAAAGGGAGGTAATCTCAGTGTCGTGGTGGCCAGTGAAATGGCTAATCTGTAACCGAGTTGGTTCTCTAAGTTTTGTTTTCAGTCAGGAAGCAAGTAACAACTTAAGAAAATGAAAACCCCCACACTTTGTGTTTCTGTAAAAGTGCATGTTTACCACCTCAACCCACTTGCACTGAATCAACTTCATTCACCCGTGTTCACTCCATGTGCCACTGACTCATTTCCTGCCAGATTAGGCATTTAAATGAAGAACTATGCTAGAGTAGAATCCACAGTGATGCCAAAACATGCTTTCTCACACCGCTCTCTAAAAGCCCCTTTAGTTAAAGGACCATAAGCTAGCAGAAGGTTAAATGAGGTTTGTGCATTCCACGATAAAGCTTTTTTTAACAAACGGTCTGTTTTCTCCTTAAAGGACTGTTAACTAAGGGAGGTTTCAGCATTCGGGCCTTATAGCCCATACTGTACATGAATGAGGAATATATACTGCTCTTGTGACTTTCATTTACCCAAGTACGAATTACAGTTTATACGTGAGTTACAGACAAGGAATCCAGATTACATGCAGGATTTTAGGGTACTAAGGTGAATTGCAGTAATTCTCAGATAATATAAAGTAGTGATTGCATCCCAAGCAATGGCCCAAGCATCTATAAAACAGGTTCTTTCCAACCACAGTGTTATTATTGACAATTTTTCTGGCCACTGCTAAATGAAGGCTTTCCCATGCATATGCCTTATACTTTCCTGAGCTGCACCAATCCATTCAACTCATTTAAAGTTTTGTATTTCATCACTCTAGTACTCTTTCAAGGAAAAAAAAATAAAATTGTTGGGACAAAAAGGTTAGCAAGATTCAATGATCAAAAGAACTTAACTGGAATATTACAATCATGCCAAGAATGTCAGGTAACAGGATCCAGACATTGGGTGACATGCACCAGATTCATTTAACTTTAAACTGATTCGTTTTTATAATGGGCATCTATGGGAATATGTTAATCTCCCTGGAGATCTTTAATAGAATTATCAGTAGGACTTCATCCTCTTATCTGCTGAAAGATTTGCTGGGAGATTGACTCCTTAGAAGCTAGAAAATTCAGCATAGCATTCATGTTCACCCCTTCAGCAGACCCTTTGATAGCACATTGAAAAAAATTCATTGAAGCTATCTTTATATGACAAGTAAGATGAAATTTTGCCAGTCACCATCTAAGACATCTGGCTTCTCATGATAAAAGTAAAAAAGGTGCATTGCAGCTGGAAGTGCCTCAGGCTAAGATTTTTTTGACCACCCCACGTACAGGTTGTACCAAAAATCATGTAACCCAACATTAAGTAGGGTTACATGATTTTTGAATCATCCTATTTTTGGTTGCATAACTTTTGGGACACCCTGTACTTGGCTTACATATGTGCTAGCACAAAAAAACTAAAGGTTCTGAGCTGCTTGGTATGCATTCACTTTTTATAACTTTTTAATGACAAAGAATGTACCTGTATTTCCAATTTGTACTCTCTTGTAGATGCCAATGCACTTTGGAGGCTTGCCTTCCAACATGGCTTGCTTTCCCAGCTCAGAGTTATCAACCACTCGCAAACGAGTCATCCTCATAATATGCAAGGCTGGAGTTGAAGCATGAAACCATCTTCTACCAGAAGATGAAGGAGGGTTAAGACCTACCCTTAAAAATCTTGGGAGACAACTTGAGACCAAGCTGCCCAGGTGTTGCTTCAACATCTGCTTAAAAAAAAACATAGTTCAGAGATCAGATGCTACAGTATTAAGCACTGGCAGCAAACTAATTGATAGTACATATAGCTAATCCTCCATAAATATGACTAGACATATGCTGCTTCCTTTTACCATGGCATTTGGGAATGTTCTCTAAGGTAACAATTCCCAAATGTGTCTATTCTTACCAGAGATAAGGTCAAAGGAGGACTGGTTCTGGCAGGAGTGAACTCAAAGTGGAGAAGTGCAGCTATGGTGAAAGAATCTGGTCTAATTAGAATTTATAGAAGTGCATTTGAGCTTGGATTGGGATGATTACATATGCACAATTGGCTTCATCAAAGATCACAAGAATAAACATTTTCTTTTATTAATATACTGAGTACATATTGCAAGTAATGTGCCATAGTAATACAAAGCAGTATGCAAGGCTCAAACTTTCTCCAAGTAGTGAGTTTAGGTTTAACCCTTTGCAGTCCACTGTTGGACATAGTCCGACAATCTCCATGGCATTACAAATAAAACGGACGGCAAAGGGCTAATGAACTTGCATCTTAAGTGTCAAGAAGTGATGGCATTATGGAGAATATTCAAATTACATCCATCCCTAACAGATAATGGATGCCTCTCTTACTTTGTTTGGGCAGGTTTTGTTCAGTCCAGTGAGAACCCAGTTCAGAGAGCCTTAGCCAAGACTCTGAACTTGACATGGTAGGCACTCCTGGACATTGACTTTTCTTGTATTTACAGAATGCCTCTTCATACTCTCTGTGCTTTGTCACAATCACAAGAGGCCACTGTTGCTATAACTCCTTGTGCTGAGAATGCTCATTGGGCATAGATGGCTGCCAGATTTAGAATAATCAAGATATGATCAATCTCTTTATGGGTTTACCTTCAGAGTGGTTGGGATTTCCTTGTTTCACATCAATTCACAGAGTCTTTAATTTTTTCATATAAAAAATTCTGTATGAGGGGCATCTGATGCTCTGAGAATATAACTCTGGGTCATTTGAGCCAAAATACATCTCCTTCATAATGCAAGAAAACTTGAAAACATAATAGCTCTTTTAAAAGCTTGTAAAACTGCCAATTCTGACACTCTTATTCTGTTCTGTGTCTCATTTAGAAAATAAAGCTGAAATTTTGTTCAAATTCAGACATCAGAAAAGTTACACCCCAAAATTTCAGAAATGGAAAGGCTGGTACTGAATCCAGCTACATGTCTCTCATGCTTCTTCAGACTAGTTCAATTACATTTTCTGCTATGCTATGCTATTCACTCATATTGGGTCTAAGTGAAAGTTCTGTCAGTTTTTGAGGGTAAATTATTTCCGTTTCCCATATGCAAACAAAGCTGCACACACTTGTAAAAACCTATTTTATTTTCGGGTTAGGGTTATATAGTATGTTTAACATGAATTCAGCTTAACCATTCAGTCCAAAATGAACTCCTGTGCATTCAACATGTCAGTGGATAAAGTGCATTTGAGACACTGTGTGCTTTATGAGTTCCAAAGAGGAAAAAAAGCAACGACTGCAAGTAAAAATGTATGTGAAGTGTTTGGGGAGGACGCTATTACTGATCACACGTGTCAAAGATGGTTTACCAGATTCCGTTCTGGTAACTTCTGTTTGGAGGATGAACCACATTCCGGACTCCCCTCCAATGTTGATAATGATAAACTGCGGGCCTTCATTAAGGCAGATCCTCGCCAAACAAATACAGAAATCGGCAAGAAACTTGGATTTCACCAGACAAATGCCATAAAGCACATTCATCAGCTTGGTTTTTTCTCAAGAGCAGTGCTGGGGTACCACACGATTTGTCTGAAAAAAACTTGCTTGATAGGGCCACCATATGTTTTATGTCAGCTGGCTGAGCCTTTTTTGGATCGAGTGGTTACTGGTGATGAAAAGTGGGTTCTGTACAATAACGTGCAATGAAAAATACAATATTGTGAAGCAGGACAATCTCCAATTCCTACTCCAAAGCCCAAGCTCCACCAAAGCAAGGTTATTCTCTGTTGCTGGTGGAATTATAATGGAGTTGTCTACTATGAGCTTCTGAGATCTATCGAAACTGTTAATACTGACTGTTACTACCAATGACTTGAAAATCTCAACTCAACTCTTGCTATAAAGCATCAATCTTTAGTAAACAGAAGAGGTGTCGTATTCCGCCATGACAATGCACAACCACATGTGGCAATGAAGATTCAACAAAAATTGAAGGAACGCAACTGGGAAATTCTTGCCCATCCAGCATATTCCCCCTGACCTCGCACCATTGGACTACCATTTATTCTGATCACTGCAGAACCATCTCAATGGAAAAAACTTTGCCTCTTTTGGAGCAGTCAAAACAACCATTGAGAACTTCTTTGCATCCAAGCTGGAAAAATTTTACACAGACAGAATTGGAAAGTTGCCCAACAGATGGGAGACAGTCATCGCTAATAATGGAAATTACATTCAAAATTAAAGCAGTTAATAAACTAAGAAAAAAATCATCAGGTAGTTTCACTTCAAAAACAGACAGAACTTTCACTTAGACCCAATACACTCATTTTAAATTCTGTCCCTCACACCTTAACCTCCTAAGACCTGGGTGGCATGCACACAGGTCAAATCCTATGGGTTTATTTTTTTCTGGGTCTGAAGGAATTAAATGGGATGCCGCTCAAGCTGATCCAGAAACATCCTCCAGTGTTCATGCTTCTGGCAATGGACTCAAGGTGGAATGCCAGCCTCTGTGACAAATGTAATTTCTATCATAGGAAATATATATTTCATCTCCTGCATTGCAGCAACATTGCATGATGAAAAAATGTGATATATATTCATTTGCAAACACTAGGTGAGCATAGACCAATATAGGAACATTGTAATAGTAGTACATAGGCTACTTAGCCAGCTATGTAGGCCTAACTGCACCACTCCCTATAACTTGACTCAAATCAATGACTGTTAGGAGTGATCCTGCTTTCAATCCATACAATTACAACCATTATAGTAATTACACGAAAGTCGAGCCCATTTCCTTAGTACGACGTGCTGCACAAGAGAGGCTCCATACTGAACGAATGCTTCACGCAGGGTCGTGAGTGTGTTTATCTGTAAAAGTTTAATTCTGATCTACAATATCAGCTTGAAAGCCTTTGCATCATTAGTAATGATATCGCAAGAAGCATTGAAATGCAATTATATATTTGGACGCATGAATCGAACCAACGCGCGAAAGCCAACCCTGCAGTTCCTCAAAGTCGGGCCTGTGATCGTACTTCCTAGCCTCACTAAGCATCCACCACCCGGTGTGAAGGTCTTAGCAAGCCTCTATACGCGCACACCGCTCGCCGTGTTGGTTTGCAGAGCCAGGAACGACCGATTTTGGACAGACTGCATATTCCCAGCATAATTGCCTGAGAGGTACCTCCAGGAGGGAGGTTCAAAGAGGGGACTAGCTGGATATTAGGGGGGGGGGGGGGGGGGGGGCAAGGATCGGTTGATTGAGGGGCGGCTGGGGAGTAACCACACCTGAAGCCGATCGCTCGATCTCACCGAACAATGGACCGTTGTCGCGAGAGAAAGCCGTTGAAATTGTTGGAAAGGAGGTTTACGACGTTAATAACCGCCTCCTCGGCGCATGGATCCAACGGGCCTCTGTTTCCCGAAAGAATGGCATGTGGCCTTTCGGGCCGCCTTTTTTCTTTTTTCTATTTATCTTGAATTGTGAGACATCTTAGTTCCGCTCGGTGAGGAGGCTGCGTTTTTGCAGGTACTTAAGACTTCGTAGACGTGGCTGGATCGTGTGAGCCTGCCTCTCCGGGTTAGGGAAGGCAGGTGTATACAAACAATAGCGAAGTTGACGTAACTCGGTCTCTGGAGAACCGCATAATTGGAGCGAGAGAAAAGCTGAACAAATTAATGAGTGACACTCCCGCGGAGCCCCCCCTGCTGCAAATGTCTCAACATTGCTTTCCCCGAAAACTGACGAGAAGTTAATGAGGGATGGGGGAGGGGGGGAGGGGGGGGGGCTGGTGGAGGGGCAGCTAACGGAAGGTTCACTTCGTCGAAGGTCGGGAGATATTCGAGCACCCGCCGCACATCTTCGCCATCGCGGACTCGGCGCACCGAGAGATGAAGCGCAGCCGGAAGGACGCCTGCATCGTCATCAGCGGGGAGAGCGGGAGCGGGAAGACGGAGGCGTCGAAGATCATCATGAAGTACATCGCCGCCGTCACCAACGTGTCCGGGCAGAAGGAGATCGAACGGTCAGTGATCGGCTGCCGGTTGAGCGGAGACCGGCGCTTTTTAATCCGGTCCTGTCAACTTGGTCGGCCATGTGCAGCCAGCGAGGATCGTAAAAACCCGCGATTCATTAATACCCCGTACCGGTATTTGCTCATGCAGTTTCATCCGGGGAAAAGATCGTAAGGAGGACAATGGTTCTGAATTTCACGGTTCCATAACCGGAGATATAGGGAAACGGGAGACAAAAGGAAACCTCGGTTTCTCATCGACCATCTTTTTTTTCTTTCCTCCTCCTGGAAATGAAAAATTTTCCGGATCGTTTTCGATTGGAATCGCTGCAGGTGATCGCGGAGCTTCGCTGCAGCCACTTCTCTTCGCTGCAGCCTCTATCTCGGCCGATATCTGTCTCCGCTCCTGTTAGGAAATGCAAGCGGCACAAACATGAGGGATTTCCTGTGGCACGTTATCTCACGCCATCCCTCTCACCTGCTCACTCGAGAGCACCTTGCTCTCGAGTGAGCAGGTAATCAGGCGGCGCTTCCCAATTGGCGCGCACATTCCGCTTTCTGCGCTCAATTGTCACGCGCCCCTTTCCAATAATCGGTCGAATTCGCTCCTCGCAGTTTCCTGCTTCGTGAAAGTAAATAAAAAAAAAAAAAATTCCGAGACGTGCAGATAGGTCTTTCCCCTTGCATTGCGAGATCGGAACGAGCCAAACGGGATCGAGGTGTGCCTCTCCCTATTTTTTTCTCTCTCATCATCTTATT